GATACATGTTCCTAAGCAAATGTTATAGCTCACTAGTGAAACATGGGAACTACACAGTTGAAAAAACAAGGGAAAATCTTTACACAATTCCATGAAAATGCAAATTTCTTACAATCAAGAATATGATCTTTCATAAGAAAATGCAAATTTCTTTCATATATTACTCACCTTTATGTCTATTAATTTTGGATTCTATGGTTCTACCTACCTTTCTTTTTCATTTTTGTCTTTTAAGTTGTCCTGCTTTTCCAGGCAACTTCCAACCGGAAAGAACAAGATGCCCAAAACAAAACCGTGTGCGTCAATAATTCTCCATTGACTTGCTGGCAAAAAAAAAATATAGGTCTTCCTTCTCTATACTTCTTAAGCTTTACACTTCTGAGTTTTCCTTTGCTTATTCTCTCTGTGTAGCTTCCTCGGTCTAGCCACAAGCTACAGGTATGTTATCCATTACTATGTTTATATTTTCTGTTTGTTGTTGTTGATAAAATGAAATTATAGCTGATGATCCACCTTTGTTAATTATTTTCTAATATGTTATGGTTATTGTTATGTGTTTGTTCAGATCCGGTACCACTCTTGTGCTTCTTTGCTTTGCCTCCAGCTCCACCTATTTTGGACTTCCTCACCTCATTTTGCCAATTCATCTGGAGGTATATATACACTACATATTTTTTACTACTGTTTTTTCTCTTGGATGTATGGAAGGTTTAATTTCTGTTTGAATCTCTGCTGAACATATGGGTGTACAAAAATTGTCTTTAAACATGAAAAAAAATGTCTTTTAGATAATATGATAAAAGTTTGTGAGTTTAGTTTGTTGAAACCTATACAATTTCAACTTGAAATTTCTCAAAGATTCCCTACTCTGGTGTATGATGTATGATCTTTGACACAGAATGAATGTTGTATAATAAAAGAGAGCAAAAGATAGTCAAATTATTTGGTTTAGATCATAACCCAACATGAGGCAAAATATCAATCAAGTGAGTAGATATATAGGAGTACCAAAATTTGTTTACTAAAGCCTTTTTCTTTAGCTGAAGCAAACAGTAACTTAAGTACCTCACTTGGTGTTACATTTCAGGAATTTTCTTAATGGCGGACATTGCAACACTAATCTTGAGATCATAAAGTGCATAGCAACTCCAACATGCCGTTGTGTAGATTATCATAGAAAATTCAAACTAGATGTGGAGGATCTCAAAAGCAAATTGAGAGATCTAAATAGCAGAAAAAAGGATGTAGAAACACAACTACAAGCGGAGGTTTGCTCACAAAAACAAGTCAAGCAACAGGTGGAGGACTGGCTTCAAGATGCGCAGAGGATCAATGTTGAAATTCAACAGGTGGAGCAAAGGGTGGACAATGCTTCATTTCTCTCACGAGCTCGTCTTGGAAAACTTGTTCGTGAAAAAATTAATGCTGTGGATGCAATTCTTCAACGAGGCAGTTTTCCTGAAGGACTAGTAGTTGATAAGCCTGCAACTGCTTTGCCTTTACCAGTAGAGAATCTTGAAGGTGAGGTTTGTGTGAAGGAAAAGATATGGGGATACTTGACGGGCAATGAGGTCCAAATGACTGGTGTTTGTGGAATCGGGGGTGTTGGGAAGACCACCATTATGAAGCATATCCATAATGAATTACTATTGATGGAGTCTAGATTTGATAAAGTGATCTGGGTTACTGTCTCATATCCACTCAATGTGGTTAGATTACAACATGAAATTGCTAAGGGAATGAAAGAAAACCTCCTAGAGAATGAGGATCAGCAAAGGCGAGCTTCAGAATTGATGGAGATGATGGGAAGGGTGAAATATGCATTGATATTAGATGATGTTTGGCAAATATTTACTCTTGAAGATGTTGGAATCTTGAGACCAACAGTGGAAAATGGTTGCAAAATAGTTATTACTAGTAGAAAGGTGGATGTATGCAAGTCCATTGGTTGTGAAATAGTTAAAGTGTCTCCTCTTTCAAAGGAAGAGTCTTTGAATTTGTTCTTAGATAAGGTGGGAAGGGATATTCTACAAGTTCCAGAATTGGAAGGATTTTGGAAAGCCATGATGGAGGAGTGTGCTGGACTACCCTTGGCTATTGTTGTAATAGCTGGGAGCATGAAAGGAGTAACTGATGTCCATGAGTGGAGGCATGCTTTAAATGAATTACGTGAATGCGTAAAAGCTACAACTGAAGGTTCAGAAGATGAGATATTTGAGCGGTTGAAGTTCAGCTATGATCGTTTGCAAGGTTCAGATATCCAAAATTGTTTCTTATCTTGCTCACTATATGCTGAAGACTATGAAATTAGAAGAGATAATCTGGTTGAACAATGGATTGATGAGGGACTTATTGAAGAATCAAGGAGTAGACGAGCAATGCTTGATAAAGGACGAACCATATTAAACAGGCTTGAAAACAGTTGTCTGTTAGAGAAAGCTTATCGTGAGGACACTATTAAAATGCATGATGTTGTGAGAGATATGGCATTGCGCATTGGTCCTCAATTTATGGTGAAAGCTCGTATGAAACTAATAGAGATACCAGATGAGCATGAATGGACTGAAAATCTCGAAAAGGTTTCCTTGATGCAAAACGAAATTTCAGATATTCCTACAAACATGTGCCCAAATTATCCCATTCTCACAACCTTGATGTTGCAAAGGAATAGCAAATTGACCCAAATTCCAGATTGCTTTTTTGCAAACATGCAAGGGCTCAAGTGTCTAAATCTTTCTAAAACTAGCATTGAAAGTCTACCTCATTCCATCTGCAATTTGGAGAATCTTACTACATTGCTCTTGCGTGATTGTAGGCAATTAAAACATGTGCCTTGCTTAGCAAAGCTTAAGGCATTGAAGAAGTTGGATATGTTTAAAGCAGGAATTGATGTGGTCCCTGAAGGCATTGATATGCTTGTAAATCTCCAATATCTTGATTTACGGTGTCCAGAATTGGTGGAGCTACCGACGCAAATACTCGGTAACCTCTTTCACCTCCAGCACTTGACAGTATATTCCATATCGACCACTTTAAAGATAAAAGGAGAAGAACTAAGAGGATTGAAGAAGTTGGAGACTTTTGCAGCTCAATTGAATGACTTGCAAGTCTTGAACAATTATGCTAAGTCTAATCATTTTAAAAGATTGAGTAATTACCAGCTTGTGGTTGGACAAGTGGAGGAAGACTTTGATCCTTCTAGTATTGATTTCTCTAAAGAAATAAGTTTAGGATAATGTGAGATAGGTGGAGAAGATAGTGTGGTGCTTACAGATGACGTGCAGAAACTATGGATTTATCGGTGTAGAAAATTTAGAAGCTTAAGTGATATTTATTCTCTCCAAAAAACAACTGAGTTGAGAAACTGTTTTATTACCGAGTGTGAAGAGATAGGGTGTGTGGTTGACATGGTTACATCATCATCAGCTTTCATCAATAACCTTGAACGGCTATACCTTGATAAGTTGCCCAACTTGAGTGTTGTTGTGAACGTGGAAGGAGTAGAAGCAACATCGCCTCACATCCTTTCCAATCTTAAATTATTTTGGATGTCGGAATGTTCAACAATGAAGAGGTTGTTTTCATTTGAGCTGCTGCAAGGCCTCCAAAACTTGGAGGAGATTACAGTTCAGAATTGTCAACAAATGGAGGAAATAATAGGGTGGGAAGGAGAAGAGGAAAATCACACAGCTGATGCAACTACTACTACTACATTCACTCTTCCAAAATTAAGACTGTTGGATTTGCGGAATTTACCAGAATTGAAGAGAACCTGCCCCACAAGAGGAGTAATGGTTTGTGATTCTCTCCAACAATTACAAATACGGGAATGTCCAAAGTTAAGGAGGATTCCCCTGGTAGGGAATGTACGGCCATCTCCTCCTGCTGCTCTAAAAAGAATCCATATAAAGCCAAAAGAATTATGGGAATCACTGGAGTGGGAAGATCCCAATGCCAAAAATGTCCTTCAACCCTTTGTGTATTGAGGACTACAAATGGAAAGTTTTGCATAAAATCAAATGGCCGAGATCCAATACCACGGGTAAGCCTTCTTTTCTTTTCTTATTAATGTTCTAACTGCAATATTTCACTCTCGTTTCTTTT